ACACGACACGCAACGCACGGACACGACGACACACGACAACACACGACACCACACGCACGACAACACACGACACACGACACCACACACGACAACAGCAACGCACGACACACGACAGCACACGACAACAGCTACACACGACAACGCACGACACACGACAACACACCACACGCCACCACACGACACACGACAACACACGAACACAGCAACACACGACAACGCACGACAACACACGACACACGATAACAACACACGACAACAACACACGACAACACATAACAACGCACAACGACAACACACGATAACAACACACGACAACCGGGAAGCGCTTTGAGACGCCTCGAAGACGTGATCGGTCACACGCCGGGATTGTTATTACTACTATTATTGCTGGTTAAACAGAGGCACGCGTGTGTGTGTGTGTCTGTACGAGTGTGTGTGTCAGTACGTGTGTGTACGTGTATGTGTTTGTCTGTGCGTGTGTATCTGTGTGTGTGTGTGTGTGTGTGTATATTGTATCTCTGTGGGTGTGTGTCCGTGTATGTGTGTCTGTGAGCGTGTCCCTGTATGATGTGTGTGTGATTGCGTGTGCGCGTCTGTGTGTGTGTGTCCATGTATGTGTATGTGTGTCTGTGTGTGTGTCTGTGTGCGTGTGTGCGTGTGTGTGTGCGTGTGAGTGTGTGTGTGTGTCTGTGTGGGTGTGCGTGTGAGCGTGTGTGTGCGTGTGTGTGCGTGTGTGCGCGTGTCATGTGTGTGTGCGTGTGAGTGTGCGTGTGTGTGTGCGTGTGTGTGTGTCTGGCTTGCGAGGCGAGGGGTCTAACTACAGGGCTATACCCTGCGTGAGTGGGGGCTGTTGCTGTTGTTGTTGTTGTGGTGGTGGTGGACGCGGTACCTGTGCTGCACCACCTCGAGCTCCTCCAGGTTGTCGGGAATCACCATCGCGATCAGCCATTGCTCCTTTTCGTCGATCCAGACCTCACACGCGTTGACCTCACTGAACATCCTGTAGACCGCCAGGGCGTCCTGGAGCCACTGCCTGCGCAGGGAGGCCACCTCCCTGACCTCGGCGTTCAGCCCTTCCACCTCCCCGACCCTCCTCTGCACCTCCTCCAACTCCTGGTACTCCAGGCCCAGGGTCGAGACCTGTTCCCTCAGGCCCGTCACCGCGGCCTGGTGCTGGGCTATCTCCTCCGTCACCGCCCGGTGCTTCTTAGCCAGCGACCGGGTGGAGAACTCATCGTGGCCAAAGTCATCGCTGGACACCAGGCGGTAGGTGTCCTGGAGCCAAGCCTCCAAGTCGTCGGTGTCGGCCTTGAACTGGAAGAACGTCAGGGCCTCTTGGAGTCGCTGGTGGCGAAGGGATGCGAGTTCCTCCAGCGATTTCCACTCCAACTTGATCTCGAGGATCCGGTCGTTGATCCTGCCCGTCACAAAGTGTTTCATGGCCAGGATCTCCTCCCCTCGAGCCACCATCTGGCCCAGGAGGAGCTGCCGAGACACCAGCTCACCCGCGAGGCTCTTGTGTTTGCTCAGGAGGAGGGTGACGCTGCTCAGGTCCTTCCCGAAGTTGCAGGACCCCATGACCTGCTCCATCTCCCTGATCCAACCCTCGGTCTCCTCCATCTCCCTGAAGAAGGCCCACAGACAGCGGGAAGCCTCCAGCTCGCCTCGCCGCCTCCCCGCCAAACCCCGCAGCTCCTCGAGGCAGCTCCCCACGTGCTGCACCCGGTTGCAGATCACCTGAGGGTCGCACGGCTGGTAACCTGCGCAACAACAACAACAACAGCAACAACAACATGGCATTTACACCGAGCTTTTCGCATCAGGAGGACGTCCCCCGAGGCGCTGGACAGTCAGGGGTTTGGACCCGAGATGGGGGGTCGAGATCAGGAGGGCTGGTTGGGGGGGGGGGGCGGCGGGCGGGCGGGTGGGGGTAGGAGGGGAACCTAAGACATGGTCGGTCGCAGAGGAGGCTTGATTGGGACGTGGGCGTGGCAGGGCTGGGAGATGGGCCGGGATTGCCTGGCGGATGAGCCGGGGCTGGGAGGTGGGTGGGGTAGGGTGGGGCGGGGGGGGGGGCGCGGGGGCTCACCCTGTGTCTGGGTGAAATGCAGGGCCGAGGTATTGAGGATGTGGACCCTTTCGCTCTGGACATTAATGTCCGCCTCGTGTAGCCCATGTTTCTGCAGAAGGTCCTCGGCCTCCAGCAGATGTTTCCCGAAGTCCTTGGAGGACAAAACGATCTGCAGACACACAGTCAACAACAACAACAATAATATAATAATATAATAATATAATAATAATATTAATAATAATAATATTAATAATATTAATAATAATAATATTAATAATATTAATAATATTAATAATATTAATAATAATATTAATAATAATAATAATATTCATTATATTATAATATTAATGATAACAACAATCCCCACCTTTGACCCGGCGCCTCGTTATGTCTTCGAGACGCCTCAAAGCGCTTCACGGGATACACAGTAAAGTGTAGTGACTGTGTGTTTTGTGGGCGAAATGCGGCAGCATATTTTAGGCTCTCGCGCGCACACACACACACACACACACAGAGTCACACACAGAGAGTCACACACACACACCATCTCACACTCACACACTGTCTCACCCGCCCTCACACTCACCCAACACCCCCCTCGCACACTAACGCCCAACTCGCTCTCACGCCTCCTCCGAGCAGACGGCGGTGAGCGAGCGAGCGAAGGCGGGGCGGGCGGCCGGGGGGGGGGGTGGGTCGATGGGGTGGGAGGAGGAAAGGAGTTCTTCGGGGATGGGACCTCCCACCCCACCCCCAACCCCCACCCACCCCTCACCTGCATGTCCTCCATCCAGTTGATCATGTGCACCATATCCTGGAAGATCCTTTGCAGGGACAGGTTGACCTCCAGACGTGCCTTGCGGGCGGCCAGGGTGTCCTGGAGGAAGGCCCAGAGACGCAGGATGTTGTCCCTGTTGGCCACCACCCGCTTGGCATCGTAGTAGCCCTCCCCCTCCAGCTCCCCGGCCAACTCCGAGATCACCTGGACCCGCTCGGCGTAGGAGCTCACGTCCGCCTCGATGGCGTCCTGCTTCTTCATGGCCGCCTCCACCGCTGAGAGGTCGTAGCCAAAGTTATCCTGGGATAGGAGGCAGCCGGTGAGAGGGCACGCACGCACACGTGTACACGCACACCACGCATACACGCATGCGCACACGCAGACGTGCACACGAATACATGTGGTGGGGGGGGGGAGCAGGGGGGGAAATGCAGAACGAGGTGGGGCACCGCCTTCAAATCAGAGACAGGACATTTAGCGGTGAAATTAGTGGCAGTGTTTCACCCAAAGGGTTAGAGGGAGTCTCTCTCTCTCCCCCACCCCCTCCCACCCCAAAAGGCTGTGGATCCATTTACATCGTCCAGACTGAGGCGGACGGATGTTTGTGGGGTCAGGGGTATCGAGGGATAAGGGGCAAAAAGGGGGGTAATTGGAGTTGAGCCACAGATTAGCCGCGACCTGAAAGAATGGCGGAACAGGCTCAAGGGACTGAATGGCCTCCTCCTATTGCCAATGACAGTGGAAGGCGAACTGGTTTGCGATTCTTATGTCATGTGGGGTGTAAGGGTTCTGGGGAGCAAGTTGGTGTTGGAGTTGGTG